TGACAGCGGAGGCATCGTGTCGTTCGCCGCCTGGACACACCCGCCCGATCTTGACCCCAATTTTAGTCCAGGCGGGTTTTGGTACTCCAACACCATCCCTACAGCAGAGAGAACACGAGAATATTAGTCATTCGACAAGAACGACAAGTACCAGCAAGTATCCCTTCCCGGACATCACCTGTAGTAGCAGCAGCAGGACCCAGCCGTGCGCCATCACCAGCAATCCGAGGACCACCAACCAAAGCAGATCAGCTCATGCCCATCACCCGAGGAGTCTGCCGCAGTCCCGCTACGGTCGAGGCATTCTTCTCCAACGTCGACCTGTACCAGCGTTCTCCCGGCCATCGCGCTCTTGACGACAGCTGGCATCAACGGCTTGGGCACCCTGCAAACAGCACCCTTCTTCAAACCATAAAAGCCGGAGTATTAGGAAAGGGCGCTCTCCTCACAACAAGTGGCCAGGAGCTTCGACGACCTCGCGCACGATGCTTCACAAGCCCCAAAGCTAATCTTCCCCATCAACCTTTCCCGTCGCACTACAATCCAAGCGCACCTGCATACGCACCGATGAAAAAAGTTAACAGCGATATTTTGAACATGCCTCGAGTCGACAGTAAAGCCGAGTACAACTACGTCATCACGTTCATCGACGTAGCCACACGATACGTATGGCACTTCAACCTCAAGACTCGTGACCAAGCGTTCGAAGCCTTCACGACGTGGCTCCCCATCGCTGAACGAGAATCGGGCTCCCAACTCAAGAGTTTCCAGTCAGACGGGGCACTGGAGTATCAGACACAAAGGTTCAAAAGCTACTTCACAGAAAGAGGCATCAAATGCCTAGTGTTCCTGCCCTACGCCCACCAGCAGCAGAGGGTCGCAGAGAGGATGAACCTTACCTTGCAGACGACGATGCGGAAGTTGCTCCTGGGGATGAGACTGCCCAACACCCTTTGGCCTGACGCGATGACGCATGCAATCCATCTCCACAACTTGCTGTCCTTGTCATCACTTTCCAACAATGCTTCACCACACCTGCTGTGGACAGGAAAACTGGGCAGCACAAAATTACTTCGAGTCTTCGGCTGCATGGTACAGTACCGACCATACACTGTCCGAGCAAGACGATTTTCTCAACGAGCACGGTGGGGACTACACCTCGGCATCACAAAACATTTTCACGCGTGGAAACTTCTCGACATCCAGCACAAAACCACCGCGGCCTCACGTGATGTGATTTTCTACAAGAGACTGACGCTGCATCATTACCTGGACAACGTCGCCAACACCGCAGACTCCACCGATGGCTTCGAGGGCCATCGGTCCTTCGCCGACCGTGCTGCCAAAGCTGACGCAGCAGAAGAAGATGTACCTGAAGCCTCGGAAGCTGCCGGACCACTCCCATACTGTTCCGTGCCCGTTCCACTTGATGACGACAACCCTCTCGATAGGAACAACCTCGACACCTACCACTTCGCTGACCAGGGCTACACTACACCTCAAACGGTTGACACAAATGTCTCTGAACGCATCGGACCGAATTTCTTACGTGATCCTGAAGATGGCGACGAAGCAGCTTATCCCGGAAATGAAATTTCCCCTCGACACACACCCACGGGCCTGCAGATACTTGGACTATGGCCCTGAAGGCCCTGCAAGACCAAAACACATGGAAACTAGTCCCTGCAACAAAGACCAACGGACGGAATGTGCTCTTGGGGAAATGGGTGTACCGAATCAAGACTAACGCGGATGGCTCCATTGACCGCTTCAAAGCTCGCTAGGTCGTACGTGGATTCGATCAGCGATACGGAACCGACTACACGGAGACATTCGCCCCAGTCTCCCGACATACCTCCCTGCGCATTCTACTCGCCGTCGCGGCCGTGAAAAAGTTACCATTGCGGCAGATCGATGTCGCCAACGCCTTCTTGTACTCACCTGTGGAGGCTGAGATCTTCGTTGAGCAGCCCCACGGTTTCATCAACGATCCTACAAAAGTGTGCCGGTTGACAAAATCCCTCTACGGAATCAAACAAGCCCCGTGGCTCTGGCAGCAGCACCTTCATGGCCGCCTCGTTATGATCGGCTTCCTGCAGCTGCCGCACGACCAAGGGATGTACCGACTGCAGAAGGGGAGTGATTCCGTCCTACTCATCGTCTACGTCGATGACTTGCTCTACGTCGACTCCACTACTAACATCGTCACCTGGTTCGAAGGGGAGCTGAAGAGTGACTTAACACTCACGGTGTCAGACACAGTCACCTAGCATCTTGGGCTGAACGTCGTCGAAGACGATTCGGCGTTCTACCTACACGCTGGAAAGTACGCAAGCGTCGCCGCGAAGAAATTTGGACTAACGCCGATCGCAGCCGCAACTCCCTATCACTACGGGAACGACAACAGCGACACCTCAGCGAAGCTCCCCACTAAGCAAATCCAGGAATACCAACAGAAGCTCGGCTGCCTCCTTTTCGCAGCAGTAACCAGCCGACCGGATCTGTCCTACTGCGCTAGCTAGCTAGCAACACACCTTAAGCAGCCGGAGCAAGAGCATCTCGAGGAGCTGAATCTGGCACTCCTCTACTTCATCTCTACACCAACAGTCGGACTCACCTACAGCAAAGTAACACCAACGTCCGTACAACTACTCGGCTATGTCGACGCCGACCACGCGTGAGACAAAGAAAATCGGCAGTCCATAACAGGCTACATCTACCGACTAGAGCCTATCGGGACTATTTCATGGCAATCGAGCAAGCAAGAATTAATCGTGCTATCCTCGGCTGAAGCGGAATACATCGCTCTCTGCTCTGCGACCAAAGAGGGACTTTACCTACGGGAGCTGTTCGAGGAAGCGAAAATTGCGACCATGCCCACCTTCTCGTTATTCTACGACAACCAATCAGCGATTAAAATCGCGAACAAAAACGGGTTCGCCAATCGAACCAAGCACATCGCCCTCCTGTATTTCTTCGTCAAGGATGAGATCGCAAAGGGGAGACTTCAACTTATACTGCCCCACGACAGAAATGGCTGCAGATTATCTGACAAAGAAACTGGCGAAGGCAAAGTTCGACTACTGCATACTGCTGACCAGGCAAATAAGCGTTACCGAATCCGGACACGCCAGCACTCCGAAACGAATGGGAGTGTTGGAAATACCTTAAGAACTTCAACGTTTCTTAAGTGTAACACTACACTTGAGGAAAGTCGTATCGGGTACGCGAGTCAACGAAGGTTACACGAGGAGGTTGGGCGAAAGAATACGAAAGGGCGAAGGAATTCGAAGGGTCGCAACCAGAGGTTGCGATTGACCGTTGTGACTGCAAGGGTGGTAACCGAGCCGACAATCGAGTCGCTGTGCGACTCGATAACTGTTCCTTCAACTGTATTCTACAACTGCTTCATCTCTTACTTCCTATATATTGCTGTATACTTGTTTCCTTTAATCAATCACTTGCTCTCACATACTAGTGCAAGGGTTCAACTACTCAACATTTCCGCTGCACTATTCAAGCATTTCATACAAATGGGACTTAGTCTCTGAAAAGGTCCTAGGGAATTTCTCAGCCCAACAAATGGAACGACCACTCAATAATGGGAATACAACTTCCGGGAATAATGAATGTCCACAAGTGACGAGCGAACTGGCTAAAATAGGGCATGGACGTGCTAGGACGAGCTAGGGCGAGAGCCTCGGTACGTGAGATGGTTTGGTTGGGTGGCGAGGGTGTCGGAACGGAACGCGACTCGGGAAGGCCTGGGCTGACAATATAGGCCGAACATGTGAGTTCGAGGTCTTCGGGTGTACGCGCTGTAGTTTCACGCAGTAGGGAATGTTAATTCATTACAGAAGCGTTACACTGAACAGTTGAATGGAGCCAACAGCCCATTCCGTTACCTGCCTTTGATATTTCCGTTCCCAAACCAACCAAACAGCCTTGTTGGAGAGACAAAAAGCTTAGGTGGGGCTAAGGCGCAGGTTCGAAGCGAAAATAGGCGAACAGGATCAGAATGCAACTTTCGTGAATTCGGCTTGAATCGCAGCCGTTCTCTTTGCGCCTGTGCGGCTCGAGCTTCACACGCGATGCGAGACGGGGCCAGGGCGGAGGTGGTTCCAACAGAGCAGAGCAGAGCAGAGTCGTGCAATCACAATTCACCACCACATTTGCGCTGGGCTTGCACCCCTCCCCTCCACTCCATCCATCCAACCAAACCCGCCCCCGCCCCGCTCTCCTCCCCGTGCAGGACTGCTTACACCACGCCACCCGCCATGGTGAGTGGGCGTCTCTGGTCTGGGCCCAGCTCAACCACTTCCTCCACAGCCAACGGCTCTCCAACAGGGCTCTCGCTAAGCCTAGGGTATTCCGTTAGGTCACGGAATCGGCCCCGAAAATACCCGTTAGCGGACGGAATCGCCGAAAGTTTACCCGTTAGCATAAGGATTCGTCGAAGAGCTACACTTAGTTTAAGACTACAGTAACATCCTTGAAGGCTAATGGCCTTGGCCACGGCTAAGGAAAAGCTTTCGAAACCCCGGGGACAGTTTCTCGCGCATTCTACGCCTGAGGCAGTTGGAAGAGTAGAAAAACTCCGGGCAACTAACCACGTGCTTTGCTTGGGTGGAGGAAGTTGGGAAAAGTAGAGGGGAGGGTGAGAAGGGGTAATACACCACTACGAACAGATCTCCTACTGCAATTGCACTTCGTACGGATCAAAGAAAAGTAACCCGCAATGTTGAGGAATCACACGAAAAACAATCCGTTTTGCAGATGGAAACAAAAACCTTTTACTATGCAAAAAAAAGGAATCAGGTCGAGAACAACTTTTAATTTCGTGACATTATGGGTAATTACCCTGTTAGCCAGAGCCCTGCTCTCCAACATTCTAGGCTTGGGCGAATAGGACCATCACCTGCACAGGTGTTCCCGAATCCTGCTGCTCATCCATCTGGCCAGCCAATCCCCTCCCTCCCTTTCCCCTCTGCTCGTTCTTTCTCCTCCCCCTTCGTTTCTCCCTCCCTCTCGCACTCACCTCTGCTCGTCTGATGTCCCAGAAATATCTCCACGACAGCCAGCCACCACCGTCGCCGCCACTGACCCGTAATTCGCATTGCCGCCCTGAGCGCAACGAGACGACGCATTCTGGAGTCTTCTGACCGTCGATCGAAACACTGTGGACGGACATCATTCATCTGGTTACCGAGGTGCATGTTTGGCCCACCAGCGTGTATGGAACAGCTTCCGAGAGCTGCCGCACTTAGTAGCGCGCGCCATCCGACCGCCACACCTCTTCAGGAACGCCGATGGCACTGCGAGGGCTCTTTCGCACGTTGCCGCGGCGTCGATAGCTGCGATGCGTCCGCGATTTTCTAGGTCGCTCACGATTTAGTACCCTGCTCTCAGCGCGCTATGCGGAACGTTCTTCGCTCCGTTCAGTAACCCACGTTCGTTCGCCAGCTAAGCTCGCGTTTCCATGTGGCCATGGAGACCATGGCGACCATGGCGACCATGGCGACCGTAGCAGCCCAGCCGGAAGGGCCGCAGCATCAGTACCGGCAGCGCGACGAGCGCAGTAGTAAGTCCGGCGGTGCGGGGCACAGCTCAGCTGCACATCGCTCCAACGCTCGCGCGCTCTCCCTGCCACGTGTCTTCTCCGGCCGGCTCGAGCACCTCAGCATACCCTCGTCCCCTGGAGCCACCTCAGCCAGCGGGCGGAGCCCTGCTCACCGGGCGCGGGGGAAGCACGGGGAGAACGGCGCGTGTGGCGGCGCGGACGAGGGGGAATGGGTGGACGGACATGTGGGTTGCGCGGGCGGGTTGAGAGTTTGGCGCAAGCACGGCCGAGACGGGGAGCAGGGGGAGGGGCGGACGGAGGAGGAGCGCCGGCAACGGGTGCAGAAAACAGATGATAGTGTTGGCGGGGAGAGCGATGCTAGCTCGAGGGGTAGCGATAATAGCGATGATAGTAGCCTAGACATTGACGAGGGCGCTCGTGGTCGCGGGGTCACTAGTTGCGGTAATGGCTCCGGCACTGCTGGCGCTGGCAGCGGCAACTGCGGGAATGGCCCGAGTAATGACAGTGCGAGTGATGGCACTGATGACAGCAGTGACAGCTCCACCTATTGTGACGAAGCTACCGAAGCTAACGAAGGTAACGAAGCTACGGTAGCACAAGCAGCGGACAGGACTGGTAGCAAGGCCATGGGGATTAATGGAGTGTTCCAATACAGATTAGAGCATCTCGCCATCCCCTCGCCGCGCCTACCCCCAGATACTCCCGATTCCGCCTCCATCCCCGACCGGAGTGAAACTCCGCACACGGCTTCCCCCCGCGCCGGCGCTTCCGCCTCCCCTTGCATTTCCGCCACCACCGCCGCTGCTGCCGCCGCCAAAGCCACAGTCGCCTCTGTCACAGCTGCAGAAGCATCGGCGGTGCTGCCGCCTCTGCTCTCCGCCTCGTCCACCCCTTCCTCCTCTCTCGCTCCCACTCCCACTCCCTCCGCACCGCCCCCGTCCCTCCCTCTCCCTCTCGCGCCTTTAGGAGTCGCGGCCACTGACCTCCAGCTAACCAACGACAACGCTGGTTCGAATGCAACCTCCCCTCAGCACAGCTCGTGGGAGGTTAGCAGGGGCAATTCCACCCAACCGCCATCCCCGCAATCCGCCCCATCCCTCCCTGGCAACCCCGAAGCCAGCAGCAGCGGCGGCAGAGGCGCGTGCAGCTGGGCGGATCTGTCCCCGCTGCTGGCGAGCCCGCACCCGCTGATGCAGCAGCTGGAGGACGCCAGTCCCGGGAGCGGCAGCGGCAGCGGGAGGGGGAGGGAGAGGGGCAAGGAGCGGCTGCTGGTGGCGATGTCGTCGCTGGCGCGGCTGAAGGAGGTGCTGGAGGGGGAGCGGGAGAAGCAGGTGAGAGCGCTGAGGGAGCGGCAGAGGGAGGAGAGGGAGCAGCGGCGCCTGCTGCTGTATGGACGCTCGGTGTCTGCTGGGGCGCAGCAGTGCGGGAAGGAGGGGCAGCAGCAGCAGGTGCAGCAGCAGCAGGGGCGGCAAGAACAGGGGCGGCAAGAACAGGAGCGGCAACAACATTTGCAGGAACAGGAGCGCCTTCAGAGTAAGGCGGTGCCACAGCAACCGGATAAGACAGCGGCCGGAGAAGGAAGTGGAGGGATGGCGGAGCGGCAAAGGGAGCGAGTTACGGAGCTGGCAGTATCAGCTGCAGTACCTGCTGTGCGGACACCAGCAGCAGGGGTAGCATCAGAAACGGCAGCACCACCAGCGTGCGCTGCACCGTCTGCTCCTGCATCAGAAACAGCAGCAGCAGCAGCAGCACTGGACTCATCAACCGCCCCAACAGTATCAGCAGCAGCATGCGTGCCAGCACGGGAAGGCAGCATCCATGGCTCCCCACCCGCCGTCGCCTCTCCCTCACCCGCCGCCACCACACCGCACACTCCCACTTCCCACCCCACATCGCCGTCCCTCAGCCATCGCAGCCGCTGGCTGCTATCTATCATGACTCGCTCCAACAGCACCGACAGCGGCAGCTGCAACAGCAGCAGCAGGGGCGGCAGCCCAGCAACCACACCATCACCCACGGACCCCCGCCCTTTCTCCCCCCACACCAACTCCCCTCACGGGTTCAGCCCTCTGTCCCCCCACCCGCAGCCCTCCACCGCGCCCCGCACCAGCACCCCCACCTCCCCGGCGCATCCCGCTCCCTCTCCCCGCCGCCCCGCCGCCAGCCCTAGTCGCCTGAGCCTGCGGTCCCTCCTGAGTCCCAGACTGGGCTCCAGCCTCGGTGTGAAATCAGGCTTGTGGGTGGACTCCCCGAGTGCTGATAAGCCGGGCGGGCGGGTGCAGCTGATGCAGTCAGCACTGGGGGGGGCTAGGTCTGTGTCGGTTGATGGGGGCGGGGAGGGGCGCAGGGATAAGGGATGGAGAGAGAAATGGGGGCCACGGGGGTATGGGGAGTTTCCGCGAACGGAGAGCGAGGGGTCTAGGGCTGGGGGTGGCAGGAGCCGGCTATGTGAGGGGCGGATGGGGTGTCGGGAGGAAGAGGGGGGGGAGGTGGCGGGGCCACGGTGGGAGATAGAGGAGTGTGGAGGGGGGGAGGGGAGTGAGCTAGGAGAGAGCGTCGGGGGCGCGGAGGAGCAGGCAGAAGAGAAGAGGGAGGGGCGGCAGGCTCACGGAGAGAGGTGCGTGCAAACATCAAGTGGAGAAGGGAAGGTGACAGGGCAAGGAGAGGCCAAGGGGGTTGTGACAGAGAGAAAAGGAGGGGGGAGAGCGAGAGGCATGGCAGGGAAGTCAGACTGCAGAGGGGAGGGTGCACGTATGGTGGCGGTGGGGTCACAGGGCAGCGGGCGAGACCACCAGGGGCGCGCAGCAGCACGGGGTAGGAGCCGCAGCGTGTCGCCAGCCGCGAGGCGCAGCAGGGTGGACGAGCGGGAGTTTGAGCTGGCCTTCTCGCACCTGCAGGTGTCCTGGAAAAAGACTTAGCAGCCCCAGTCAGTCGTGTGCCCCACCTACCCAGTGGACTGCTGAGGCATGCTCACCTGCTGCCTTGGAGCTTGTGTATTTCATGCCGGTTGCTGGTTGCTCTCTAAGCGTCTGCTGGCCTGCCAATACCCCCTGCGCTGCGCTGCTGCCCTCACTGACAGAAAGGTGACTGGAATACACTACAATTGTATGGAGTTGCATCGAGTGGCCTATCATGAACACGCTGCTTAACACCTTTACAGGGAGTGTACTTCGAGTCGACAAAAAGAATTCCAGACCAGTGTATTTCTGCATTGTTATGTGTTTTCCAAATGTCAAAATGAACTCTGGAATGTGGAAAACCATGCCTGTTTGTTTCCCGCGAATTGTGCAACCCATTCGGTGCCGAGTTGCGCAACTTGGGTGTATTTAACAGAGTCTCCCATCCCATGCCCTTCGATAGTTTGTGCATAAATGCCTTGATGAATGCCCATTTGTTCTGCTACCCAATGGCGTTAGTTCGCCTTGCTTCTCCCATCCCATCATGCCACCGCCGGTCCACCATGCGGCGCTGCCAACCACATTAATTTAATCACCTCCACCCTTCCCCACCACTGCACCACCCTGACTATGACGCCCAGATGAGGAGGAGCACTCCTCGCCGCGCCTGCTCCACCTCCCCAGCTCGCTGCTCCTCCCAAACGCCACCCCTATCCGGAAGTCAGAGGAGCCCTTGCTGGCAGTGCCCCGCGCAGCATAGTACAGCCGCATGCTGCCATTCCCCATGCTCACCACATGAGGTGCCGCCACCACTAGATCCTCCCATACCTGCACCTCACCCCCATTCCCATCCCCTCTCATCCCCACACTCTCCCCCCCCTCACTCTCGCTTTCCTCCTCTTCATCCTGCTCCTCTTCCTGCTTCCCCTCTCTCCTCTCCTCCCCAGTGTCACATGGCCCAAACACAGGTCCCCCTGGGTCGCACCCTTCCATCTCAGCCTTACTCCAACTGAACCCATCATGAGACGTGGCCAGCCCAATGGCGTGCCTGCCATCGCCCCCCACGCCCTCATACCACATGGCCAGCATGCCCCCATGAACAGTGACGTGCCGCCGCCCCACCCCTGCTGCATCCCATGCGCCAGGGGCGCCAGGGAAGAGGATGGGGCCGAGGCGGGTCCAGGAGAGGCCGTCAGGCGACGAGGCGAGGAGGATGCAGGAGGGGGAGGAGGATGACATGGCGCTGTAGGTCATGAGCCAGACCTTCTCAGAGGCGTCTGAAGGCATGGCACGCCTGAGCATGGAGGGAGTGAGCACACGCGGCCACGCCACAAACAGATCATCTCGGCCCCCTTGCACCCCTACCTCCAGCACCACTCCCTCCCGCGCAGCTGACTGGTCAGCACCCTTACTGTTCTCAGCAGGCCTGTCTCCTCCTCGTGCACTTGTTGGTGTGACCCGGTGGAAATGAATGCCATCTTGGGACGTGGCCACGCCAATGCGCATGGCCGCGCCATGAACACTCACCCCCGGACGCACCTCCCGTGCCTCCCTCCCCCCTCCAAAGTAGAACATCCACCACTCGCCCTTCCCACCCTCTCCCTCTATCCCTCCTTGCCTCTCCTCCCCCTCGCCTCCTGCTCTTCTCTCTTCCCCCAAGTCCTCTGCATCCACCCACACCACATCGCCGCACCCCACGTGCAGAGAATCAAACGCAGCGGGGTCAAGCCAGCGGGGAGTGAGGACAGCCCCACCTGCCTCTGGCCCTCGCACTCTGCGCCACGCCATGCCGTCCCTGCTGACGGCTAGGCCTATACTACCCGTGGTGAAGAGGGCGGGCAGAGGAGGGAGAGGCGCGGAGGAGGAGGAGGAGGAGGAGGAGGAGGAGGAGGAGGAGGAGGAGGAGGAGGAGGAGGAGGAGGAGGAGGAGGAGGAGGAGGAGGAGGAGGAGGAGGAGGAGGAGGAGGAGGGACTGGGATCCCCCCATGTATTGCTGGAGCGGCCGTAGTAGTACATGCGCCAGTAACTCTCCACTCCACCTGCGAGGAGGTCATCTAGCTCCAGTGGTGGCTGTGCTGCTGCCGTTGCTGCTGCTGCTGCTGCTGCTGTCTCTCCTGCTTTTGCTGCCTCTGCTGCTGCTTGTGACGGCGGTAGCACTATGGGGTGGAAGAGGCACTCAGCGTCCCACCACTTGTCGCTCCCCACTCCCTCCTCGCCCTCCCCATGTCGCCTCTCGTCCCTGCTGCTGGGCTGTGGCAGTGCGCCGGCGTCAGGCGGGGCGAGGATGGGCGCCATGTTGGGCTGCGTCGCATGGCATCTACGGGAACAGCGCGGCATGAGCGGTGGGGACCACGGGAACGGGGTGTGGGTACGGAGGGGACGAACAAGTGGCAAAAGGTAAGGGGTGGCTTCGTTTCACGTGCGTCGCCTCTCGAACTTAGGGCGAGAGGAAAACGGGTTGGGAGGGGCGATGGGAAGGGAGGGGGAAATATAGCAATCAGTGGCGTCACATGCCCCTGCCTCCCCATCCCCACTCGCCAGGCGATCCCACCCCTCGCTACATAGCGTTGCAGGGAAGGGGATAATCACGCAGCACCGTTTCACACCTGACATTCCCTCCCCGCTCGCATAGCGCCGCCTGACGCAGCATCTCCGCATGTCGCCCATCGGCGCTCCGCGGCGTCGCTCTGCGCGCAAACGGTTCCGCAGGTCGCTGGCGCTCCGCGGGAGCCGAAGCTCGCGGCGGGCGAATGCAAGACCACGGGCGGCAGGCACATTGCGCGCCGATGACCGATCGCAATGCTGCTGGCGGGGACAGGCATGGCGCTGACCGCGGGGGGAGCAGTACGACGCGTGATAGCAGCATCTGGAGTGAGACCTGTGAGAGGCGTGTCGCGAGGAAGAGTGGTCTGACCACTGCTTCCGGAAAGTCGTCAGTAATACAGTGAGCTTGTCGTATGTGCGATGCGCATCTATGCTTCTACGCTTCTCGCGTCTTTCCAGACGGCAAGGGCGAGCTCGTGACCGCGAAACGATGCGTGGGACGACATATTCAGCTTCCTGAATAACACTGGCTTTGGCTCCCTAGCAAATAAATGCATTTGGCTTCCTCACGTCTTACGACATTGCGTGTTATACATTCTGTTTAGATGGAAATTCGCCCTCACCAATTATGCTCATATCGGATCGAATCTAGATTCCCCCGCAGCATGGTTCCTCCTCACAAGTGGATGGCGAGCTGCGCGAAGCTCCCAATGCTCCTCCCCAACCAGCCTCCACAAATTCCACGCGTCAACAACGGACGCTCGGAGTTACCAGCTGATTGCCAGGGGAGTGCCTTTTCGCCAACTCGCCAATCCCCCACCAGCTGGCTTCTCTTCTTGCTGCACCTTGAGCCCCCTTTATCCTCTCCCTCCCATCTTGTCACACTCAAGCCCTAGAGCACAATTTCCCGCCCTCACTTTCGCTGCAGCCGCTCAGTTGGTTCTCACTGCCAATATTTCGCCTTCAGAAAGTACTGCAAGGCAAGTTTGCGGTGTGTTTTTGTAACACGTCAGCTTTGCCGCGGGAGTGTCGATTTTTTTTCTTCCAAAAAATCTACCCGTAAACATTTGATTGGGCTTACCAGATAAAGGTTAAGGTCACTTCAGATATTTTTTCCCTGATGAGTTGGTCCAATCCGAAGCTACGTGCATGTTCGTTTCCACCACCCGATTACCCCAATGTCCACCGTGGAACGTTATGGGACCACTACTGGCTCCAGCCAGGCGGATATGGCAAGATTGCTATTTTTTTTGTTGCCAGCATGTCATGATTGTTGAGCTGGCAATCTGTGCACCGTCAATTGCAATGCTAGCGGTTCCCGAGTAAGGCATACTTCCGTCCTCCTTCGTCATTCTGCAATTCTAGCGGTTTCCTGCTCTCATTTTCCTTCTTGCAGCTCCAATAGTTTCATTTTCACCGTTCTTCGTTGCAGCAACTCCTCAACTGCTGCTGCCGTGGGCATATGTGCTCAGGCTGGAGCTGCGTGTGCCGCTTTGACGCTTTCGTCTCGCAGCACCATCCTCGTCTCCCATCGGTTATCGCCGTCAAGCCAGTGTCATCGCCTATTAGCGCGACTTTGCTGACCATCTCCAGCAAAGGCGACTACGTGCGACAACTTTCCTGTTTGAAAGCCACCGTCGGAGCTTCAGGGGAGCCACTGGAAATTGTTCAATGGACGATCTTTCAAGTAACATTTGCCAGTACGTTTAGTTTAGCCTTGTCCTTTTCCGCGTATCCTTTCTTTTCGATTATTCTCTGCTTACTTCGCTGTATCGAAACTAATTCGTTTCCTCCTTGATGTTTTGCAGGGCATTTCGAGTATACACCTGCAATATCGCCAAACAGCGTCGTTGGCTTATCTTCATCACAATCCGAGCCATCCGAGGTACTGTCTAGTTCTCGGTCCCTATCAATTCGCGTCGTTGGGAACCCTTAAGTCTAATTTCGTTTTTAAGACTGTTCCAGGTTATTTCGTCACGACATTCTTCTCGAGACGCGCGGATCATGCGATGCGATTCAAGCATCGGATCAACGAGGAATCCAAGCATTTTCCGCCTTTCGCCTTGGCCGGATTCAAGTCTTCTTTTCAAATTGTAGACCGCTTCGGAAGGTATGTAACCTGGTTTATGGTTATCGAGTGGTTTTTTTACTATGTTTCTGACTAATTGATGCTTACTTCTTTCTGACCTGCAGGATGGTTTCTGCTACGAACATCACTGATGATAGGACCACCTCCATCCGTGCCTGCTGCCATCACCGTCCCTCGAGCAGCACCCATCGCTGCCTGCGTTTTCAAGCTCCACTGCTGCTCAATACTTCGCAGAGCTAAGTACCCTTACCTTCCTCCATCAACGCTTCGATTTTTCCTGCATGATGCATCGCGCTCCTCGTCGCTCCAGCCCAAGGCCCACCCTCGGGGTTCCTGGTCTCTCATCCCTAAGCCGGGTTAGCTCTCTCTAACGCGTCGCTAGCCGCTGTCTGTCAGTCAGTCCGTCCGCATGTCTGCATACCTGTCAGTCTCAACTTCAAGGAGCTGGTACCTTGTGCTGGATGCGACCCCCCCCCCCCCCCCCTTCCATCCCCTCTCCCTCTGTCGGTTTGCTAAGTCGATTTTAACTTCGCTATAACTACTAGTCACCAACTGACTTTCTTGTTCCCCTTCGCAGGTTCCCTTCTGCACTTTTAATTTTTATGGCGGCCGTAAGGATTACTATCAGCGGGCTGGCAGCACAGGAGTAGCTCCATGACTCGAAGAGGTCAGTCGCTTTGCAAAGTCGTTTTTTACTGGCACGGCCGTTTGACCGACCTCCTTTCTTGCTCCTCTTGGCAGGTTCCCTTGAACGCCATTATGAACTCCCAAATTTTATTGCGGCGCTAAGGATTACTGTCAGCGGGCTGGCAGCACGGGAGCAGCTCCATGACTCGAAGAGGTCAAGGTTGCAAGTATCACCGCTTACCTCACACACTCCACAAGAGCCCCCCCCCCCCCCCCCGGTTGAGGTTGGTACTGGTACAGGTTCGGTTCAGGTCCCTGGTAAGGTATTTTCTTGGTGCGGCTCTTGTGGAGGACACTGTCGCATTCTCATTTGTCGCTTTGCAAAGACTTCATTTTACTACCAGTCACTAACTGACTTTCTTGTTCCTCTTGGCAGGTTTCATTTAACGCCCTTGTGCACTTTCAAAATTTATGGTGGCGCTATAAGGATTACTGTCAGCGGGCTGGGGAGCACAAAACAGGAGAGCTCCATGACTCGAAGAGGTCTGTCGCTTCGCAAGTCGATTTTTCCTTGCACGGCCGTTTTACTAACCTCCCTTCTTGCTCCTCGTGGCAGGTTCCCTTCAACGCCGTTCTGCACTCTCAAATTTTATGGTGGCGCTAAGGATTACTGTCAGCAGGCTGGCAGCACGGGAGCGGCTCCATGACTCGAAGAGGTCAAGGTTGCAAGTATCACCGCTTACCCTTCGCACTCCACAAGAGCCTTCCCCCCCCTGGTTGAGGTTGGTACTGGTACAGGTTAGGTTCAGGTACACCAGTAAGGTATTTTCTTGGTACGGCTCTTGTGGAGTTCTGACCCCCTCGCCTTCAATTCATCGCGTTGCTAAGTCATTTTTTGCTTCGCTATACTTCCAGTCGCTAACTGACTTTCTTCTTCATCTTGGCAGGTTCCCTTTAACGCCCTTCTGCACTTTCAAGTTTTATGGCGGCGCTAATGATTACTGTTAGCAGGCTGGCACCACAGGAGCAGCTCTGTGACTCCAAGAGGTCTATCGTTTTGCAAAGTCGATATTACTTGTACGGTCGTTTTACTAACCTCTCTTCTTGCTCCTCTTGGCAGGTTTCCTTGATCGCCCTTCTGCACTTTCAAGCTTTATGGCGGCGCGAAGGATTACTGTCAGCGGGCTGGCAGCACAGGAGCAGCTCCATGAGTTGAAGAGGTCTGCCGCTTTGCAAAGTCGTTTTTTACTTGCAAGCTCGTTTTATGGCTCTTGTGGAGTTGTGACCCTCGTCCCCTTTTGCTTTGCAATTTTGTTCTCGTCGCACGCCATGTACTGACTTGGTTTCTTTCTCCTCATGACAGGTTTTCTTGAATTCCCGCCTGCACCCATGCCTTGGACGCCCTTGAGGCCCCATTGTCTTCTATCACACTCTCCTCCGAGCCTGCACGCCCGGCTCTTTTGCAAGACCCAGCACTCTTCAGCACCAGGTCTTCAGCGCCTAGTCTTCAGCAGCTAAACTTCAGCGCCAGGGGTGGCGCTGCCAACGTGTCTCTCTTCTGCCTAGTCGCAATGACCAGTTAAGTTCTCGCCTCCCTCCCTGGCCCTGCTTTCTCGTTTTATACCATGTCTCATACTGCATGCCCCCCCATGTCATCCCTGCACCATGCTGCCTGCGGACCCACACTCCACTCGAGCCGCCCCCTGGTCTGGTTGGTAAAGGTTCAGGTCGCCCCTCAGGTGCCTCTGGTGAGTTCAGGTCCTTCTCTTGGTACTTGGCTCTGGTGGAGTTGCGGTCAGCACAGCAGCATGCTCACACCGCCCCATGCTCACACAATCCCGTACTCATACCGCCTTTCTACCACTCTTCATCCCCCTCGTCCTGCTCTGCTGGTGCTTTCTTTGGACTTGCACTTACTCTCTCTCTCCCTCCGCCCTGCCCCTGGACTGGCAGGTGCTCTTCTCTGAGCTTCAGAGGCAGCTGACAGCAAGTGGCGGGGCGGGAGGGACTGAAGGGGCTGCTGCGAGTGGCAACACAGCACAGCACTCACATCTATCCGCACAGAAAGATAAGTGTCTGGTGGTCCGTTGCTGTTTGTTACTAGTCCATTTCTGTGTGTTACTTTTATGGTTTGCAGTTTCTCCACTCAGCATCTTTCATTGCATGCCATGCCATCCGCCATCTCCCTTCATCCATGGCATCATGCAACTTGCTGCTGGACAAACCACACTCCACACGGAGCCACCCGCCGGTTCAGGTGCTGGTTAAGGTATGGCTTCAGGTGTCCCCTCAGGTGTTTTTTCAGGTACCTCTGGTGAGTTCATGTTCCTCCTCTCTTGGTACTTGGCTCTGGTTGAGTCGTGGTAAGCACAGCAGCATGCGCTCACCCCTTGTCACGCAGATTCAATCCTTCATTCCACTCTTCATCAACCATGTTTCCTTGTGGCTTAAACTCACTTCCTCCCTTGTCTCCTCCACCTCCACTCGCTGGCAGGCACTGTTCCTCTAGCCTTGTACTCTTCTGCTTGCCCCTGCGCGCTTCTGCAATCTTCTGGACTCTTCTGCAAGCTTGGGTGAATGTTCCTGCCGACACCACTGGCAGGGGTCTCTTCACCCTCAACCATCTTTGAGTACCGTCTCTCTGCCACTGCCTCTGCGGCCGCTCTTATTCATCGTTTTCGCCCTGCACTCTAGCTCTCTTCTCTCACCATAGTTTCAGGTCTGCAATATAGTGCAAGCTCAAGCCCAAGCCCAAGCCAAGCCCAAGTCTTTATCCAACTCCAATTGCGAAGCAGCCCTAGGTAACATGTTTTATCTGGTTTCAAGCCTTAGGGCCTTTCTTTGCTTTCTGCAGTCCTCTTTGTTTTCATGCATTAATCTGCTCCTCGATTCCTTCCATGACTGGCACTGACCTTTGGCTCTCTTGCCTTGCTCCCCCCCCCTCCCCCCTCCCCCCAAGACACCCATGGGATGGTGAGGACGTGGATGGTGTGGAGGTTGTGGCTGTGGTTGTGGCTGTGGCGAGTGGAAGGGGGGCCATGTGGGGTGGCCATGCACGAGTGTGGGGGAAACCCTTGGTGTTGGCTGAGAATTTGAAACCGGGCCGGACCGGGACTGATTCTGTCGGTGCACCATTGGCTGGCCAGCAGTGGTGTCACCTGGCGGGGGTGGGGAAGGGCAGAACCAGTCCCTTGGAAGGGCACCCGGATGTCCTAAGACCAGCAACACTGACGGTTGGCCCTTGCTCTCTGTATGGGGTGGATGCCAGGCCATGCTGGGGTGGGCATGGATGGCATGCCACTTGTTACAGTCCATGCCGGGGTGGGCATGGATGGCATGCCACTTGTGCCAGTCAGTGCCGGGTGGGCATGGATGGCTCAAGCCACAATCACTGGAAGCTGTTGCTACATTTAACTGTGAATGACGTAGCGAGTAGCTACATCAATTTTGTGGAGCGTGTAGCTACAGTGCAGTTGTGGATGGTGTAGCTACAGTACCGGTGGGTGGTAGTTCTAGTGGAATTATGGGTAGTGATTACAGTGAATAGGTCATGTTGGTGTATTTGTAGTTCCTTCTGCTATGGTGAACAGTACTGCAGTAAAAGGCTGTCTAATTAGACAAGGGTCAAGTTAAAGCTTTCTACGTTTTAGATATACTCATGAAGTGAAGCTATAGCGCACTGTACTCTCAACGCATCTACCTGTCCTACTCACATTACGCCAATGCCACGTAAATGTGGTCCCAAATCCACCTTTCCTTGCTGACGAGGCTGCCACTTAGACATCAATCCGCCCTCCACTCCACGTCCCCGTGTGAGTGTGGGGCCCAACTGCCCAAACAAAAGCCCCGACCGTGCCAGGGAGTAGTCACTTTTGTACCCTCGGCGCCAGGGGTTTTGGAGGACTTTGTTAACGTAGAAACGAATGATTACTAGAGGTGGAAACCTAGAACAAATACTAGTTGGTTGTACTCACTAGAAGCATACCTCAGTCTAGCCTATAACTTCTACATAGATAATATGTATAAGTTGACACACCCCCTAGGCTAGACAAGGGGTGAAACTAAACAAGAAGCAAACAGCTCAGGGCGGCACTACTAGTCCAACCACTGAGGCAGGGGTCTGGAGACCAGTCAGCAAGAATACAACCAAAACTGAAGCAAGCCAGGGTGGCACTACTAGTCCAGCCACTGGAGGTAAGGCCACAAGGCCAGTCTGACAAGCATATATAATAGAGAGTACACAATCAGGATCCTAACAGGGGAGCAGCTATAGGAACAAGACCAAGCTGTACACAGTGCCGCTGATGATCTTTAGGCGCAAGCGCCTTAGTAAAGATATCAGCTGTGTTGGCACCTGTGGCCAAGTGAACTACGCGGGCCTGGCGGCGCTGCTGTAGCTCGCGCAGGAGGAAGTACCGCAGCTGGATATGCTTCGCTCTGCCCTCAAGCCGAGGCTCCTGACACAGGAGTATCATGGCCCTGTTGTCAGCGTACAGGACCGGGGCAGAGCTAGGCCGCTCACCTAAGTCTGTGAGCAAGAAGGTCAGCCAGCGGAGCTCCTGTGCCGCCATGGCACCAGCGTAGATCTCAGCCTCACAGCTAGACTGAGCCACAGACGACGAGCGAGTGGATCTCCAAGAGATAGCACCCGAACCAAGGCTGAAACAGTAGCCCTGCGACGACCTGAGCGTCTCAGCGTCGTCTGCCCAAGAAGCGTCTGTGTGCCCAGTAAGGACCACTGGCCTGCGTCCTCCTAGCACTAACCCCATGCCTGATGTACTAGCAAGATAACGCAAAACCCTCTTAGCGGCAGACCAGTGCTGAGGTCGGTGTCTGCCTGTAGCCACAAAGCGAGTCAGGATGCTGAGAGGGTATGCGAGATCTGGGCGAGTGCAAGTCATCAGGTACATGAGGCAACCCACCAGCTCTGCGTAGGGGCCACTGGGCTCTACTGGCTCCTCAGGAACGGGAGCAGAGAGCCCATGGTCTACGGGTAGAGGTGTGGGCTGTGCGGAGGAGAACTGAAGACCGAACCTCTGAAGGACCTGACGCACCAAGTGTGACTGGGTCAGAGTGATGGTGCGTGCTGCTCTGTCCCTAGAGATCTGCAGGCCAAGATAGCGACGCAGCTCTCCAAGGTCAGTGCAGGTGTGTCTCTTCAGCAGCTCAGCCTTCACAGAGGCCAGTGCGTCCCTGTCAGGAGTAGCGAAGACCAGGTCGTCTACGTAGACAAGGATGTAGAACGGAGTCTGGCCGGAACGCACAAACAGTGAAGAGTCAGCAGAGGACGGAAAGAACTGCAGGTCTGCTAACGTGGCACGTAGCGTGTCGTGCCACTCGCGGGGAGCCTGACGCAGGCCGTAGACCGGGCGCCTGAGAAGCCACTGGGTCCCAGGAGGGAAGGTACCAGTGAAGCCCTGTGGTCGGCGCAGGTAGACCTGCTCGTGTAGGCTGCCCTGAAGAAAGGCAGTAGAGAAGTCGAGAGAGTGAAGCTCGTAGTCACGCTGTGCTGCTACGTGTAGCAGCGCCCGAAGAGTGGTCATCTTCGGGGTCGGGGCGAAGGTCTGGAAGAAGTCAACCCCCTCGCGCTGACTGAAACCTCTGGCCACGTAGCGCGCCTTGAAGACAGGCGGCTCTCCAGGGGGGCGCTTCACCTTGAAGAGCCACCGACCATCGACTACGTTCACCCCAGGCGGGGGAACTGCGTCGACGTAAGTGCCGGTGGATCTCCAAGATGCCATCTCCTGCTCCATGGCAGCTATCCACTGAGAGGCCCAAGGTCCCGAGGTGGCCTCAGCGTAGGTGCGAGGGGTCGGGATGTCGAAGGCGTCTGGGTCACCCTCAGGGACTAACAGCATGGAGCAGAGATGGGGAGCAGCCTCGGAAAGGAAAGCCAGCTCGTACTGCCTGTCCTCTAGGACGTCACTGCCAAGGGCAGGAGCACCCCCGACGGACAGAGGACGGGCAGGGTCAGAGACCAGAGCGGTAGCGTAGTCAAGGCGGCGGGTAGAAGCGAAGTCAGCGACAGCAGCGACAAGCGCGTCAAGGCGCGAGACAGGAACAGCAGGGTCGGTAACAAGAGAGGCAAGGACCCGAGGGACAAGGGGACGAGCAGCACGGAGGTAGTCAGAGAACGGAGGAGGTGCAACAGCAAGGGACGAGGGAGGAGGGGACGGGAAGAGGGGAGGACGAGACAAGTGGGAACGGAGCAACATAGGGTGGGTGGGCAGGACAGGAGAGACGGGACGAGCACGGGAGGGACGGCGAGCCCAAACGTGAGACGGAGGGGTAGGGTCAGGGGACAGCGGAGGAGACACAGGAGGGGAACGAGGAGGAAGACGGGCCGGAGACGAGTCTGGCGGCGGGAACACAGGACCGTAGACAGGGAGGTCAGGAGGCGGTGGGGGAGACACCGGCGCGCGGTCCGGGGAGGGAAGGCCGAGCAGGCGGAGAGCGGAAACCGGCGGCGACGGCTGCTGTGGCGGCGACGACGGCTGGGCCGGAACTCTCGGACCAGCAGAGGCAGAACGACCGTCGGCAGAACACTCAACAGCAGCACCCCCAGAA